CAGGATATTGCAACTCTAGAACAAGACAAACCTATCCCCCCACTGCCATAGCTGATCTCTCCTCACTACCCAGACTAACCCCACCCCATAGGTTGTCAAGGTAACCCCTCCTGGTTCACCATTGGCTTGCTTTCCTCCCTTTACCTAAGATTGCAAGTGCATATAATAACAACATACATACTGTTACAGGGAGAGCACAAAATGCACTACACAAAGGTTGGAAGCCTCGATGTCCCATTGATGCTCTAACCTGGGATCAGATTCAAAGGCTACCCCCAGGTACTCAAGAATTTGCAGTTTGATATGAAGAAGACATAAAGAGAGTCAAGGAAAGCATACAGAAAGCCCAACTACAAATGATTGAACAGGCCAACAAGCATCGTCGGCCATCACAATTCCAAGAAGGTGATCTCGTATGGATAAAGTCTAAAGAATTTTCCTTGGAAGAAAATGTGTCTCAGAAACTACTGCCTGTCTACTATTGACCCTGGGAATTTCTCAAAGTGATTGGGGATGCAGATGGACCCTCATACAAAATTGGCGTACCCCCACACCTCAAGACCTATCCTGTGTTTCACACGTCTAAACTCCTGCCATATGTAGAGGGACATGATTTTCCCAACAGGCCATCTTTGTTTCCTCCTTCGATGGATGGTGGCTATGAAGTTGAGAAGATACTGGAACATGGATATTTCTCTACAGGTGGCAGAGGAAGACGCAAAAGCAGTCCAAGGTAAAGTTTAAGTCTCAACCCCCATTTGAAGCTAGCTGGTTTAGCCAAGGATCCGCAATGTGATAAAAAGGACTGAATGGACAATGCAGTGCTAGTGGAATCTCAACAAGCAATGTACATCCTGATACATACAAAATGGCGCCTTGTAGCGCAGCGGAAGACTTAGATATAAGCCCTGACCTGACCGGGACTGACCTCTCTCACGTAGTACAAGACAGCGCAGCAGAATGCTAGAATACCAATGACTAGCCCAATCAATGTTGCCATGCAGACCAAACATACATCATCCTCATCACAAGGTGTGAAGCCTGGCGCTACACACGGGAAGAATGCGCCAGGTCCAGACCATACACAAACGAAGAGGAGGGGATCAAACGAAGAAGAGGGGGAAGATGGGAATGTCGCTAACACCAAGTCTTCGGTACAAGTCCCAGATAATCCCTCGTCAAATGTCTGAAGCCCAATGTAGAGTTTAGATCCAAATATCACCAAGCCTGCTCTCTCGTAGTCTGCTGATGCAGTGAAGTCAGGTAGCGAGAGGGTGAGAGGGAGATGGTGGACTGAGCAGAGGAAGAAGAAGAACTCTCCCTCTCTCTCATGTGCCAGGTACTAACCTCTGAAGATGGCGCCGTGCTGCAGGTTCCTTCAAGACGAAGCTGGAGCTATGGCGCTGCAGGTAAGTCTCCCTGGCCTCCGCACAATCTCTCTCTCTCTCCAGTGCTACTCTGGCTCCTACTCGCGCTCAGCACTGAAGGCTACAGCTAACGCTACTACTACTACTGCAGCGCTCCTCCAGAGTGCTGCTGCCGAATCCTGAAGACTACCTCCTGCCTCCTGAACTGCACGTGAAGTGCCTGGGAAGTCCCTATGAACTACCTGCAGTCTGCAGGGCGGGCCAGTCTTATGTAGTGCTGGCCCATCCAGGAGGCTGCTCTTGCCAATGCCAAAACGTGCCAGACCCTGGCGTTGAAGCTCAAACAAAGGTTGTCTTGAAAACAGGCCCAAAATGGCCTGTGCTAAAACCCTGGTCTGTGCCTGAGTTTCAGGGAAGGTCGATCTTATGAGGGCCTGAAAATGGCCCTCCGTTTCAGGCTGAAAAGACTCAGGGCCGGGAGGGCCCTGTTTTAGGCTGAAACGACACAGGACCTGTAGGCCCTTGTTTTCAGGCTTTCAGGCTGAAACGACACAGGGCCTGTAGTCCCTTGTTTTCAGGCTTTTAGGCTGAAAACAACACAGGGCCTGAAAATGGCCCTCGTTTCAGGTGCGGCATGTAACATTTAAAAGAAAGTTAATATATTTCTGTGATGGAACTTGAAAACTGGGCCAGCAGGAATGCAATAATCCGCTCCAGTATGCCCCGTTGTTGTCTAAGGGGCCGCCTGCAGGCCAGTGCCGGCACTAGGCCGCGTTGACGAGGGGCACAGAACCCCCAAAAGTTGACTTCAGGGGCCCTGCGCCCGACTTTTAGTTTCAAAATGGCGTCTGCTGGACGGAATTCCACAGGTCGAATCACCCTTTTCCATAGAGGCTCCCACGCAAAACGATTGCAGCGAAGAATTGACTTTCAACGTAACACTTCGTTGACGGGTAAGGGTTTACCAAAGTCAGCTGCCCAGCGGCCCACAAGTCAAAGTCTGCATGGACCCAACCCAGGCCGCCGATCAGACACACACACTTGTTGGTATGCAGGTATCCAGACAGCAATCAGACCAAGTGGAAGTCTGTAACTGTACGAGATCCAGGCCGTCGGCTGTGAGTCAATCTGAGCCTCCGTGGGTGAGGGACCAGAGGCAGGTCAATCTCGTCAACACTACTTATTGACTCTGCCTCCAGGAGTCAACATTCAGTCTTGCCGTGCTGACTTGACGCTGGTGCGACGCTGGCTTCACGCTGGCTGGACGCTGGCACTGTGCGACGACAACGCGAGACTGCTGCATCGCGTGCTGGCGCCTTCCTGCTCTGGCACCAGCTGTCTTCTTGCTTGTTGACGTGGCGCATGCCACGCTGTCTTCTACATAGCTGATGTGGCGCATGCCACCCTGTTTACATTGCTGACATGGCATTTGCCACACTGTCTTCATTGCTGAGTTGGACGCGACGAGGAGGGAGATCGGGATCTGTGGATTGATTGAGAGAGAGAGAGGAGACTTACCTGTTGCTGATGTCGACATTGCGCGCTGTTGTGACGTCTTCATGGGAGAACTGTGCCACGTGGCACTCTGATGTGATCAGACCTTATCGGGCTCGTTTCTTGGACACTGTTTGCTGACGTGAAGGAGAGGGGAACGAGGGGCTTCTATCTATGTGGTCATTGAGTGGATACTTACTCTTCCACCCTCTAAGTCTATTCTCCCCCTCCTCTCCTTCGTCCACTGGTTACGAGACTTTGTATCCCAGATCACATTTCATGATTATTGGAGACATTATTCAGCGCTGAGTTATCTTGTACTTCGACACTTGACGAGTTTCCTTCAGACTGGGTTCATTACAATAATAATAATATTATTATAATACGTATCAATAACAATAATAATAACAATAATAATAACAACAATAATAACAGTAATAATAGCAATAATACTGACAATAATAATGAGAGGAAGGTTACTTTCCATTAGTGAGAACGGGACGAGAGAGTTGGAAACGGGGGGAGGGACGGGGACTGATGCTGAAGCAGAAGAAATGAAGGAAAAGTGTTCAGGAAAAGTCTTCGAGGATAAGATAACAAAAATAAACGATTACATGTGATCTTAAATATTATAATCCTTTAAAAAACAATAAATAAACAAAACAAAACAAAAACTGAACACAGAGGCGGCACGGTTCGACATGTTACCTGCACCATTGAAAATAACTGCAATGCTTTCTCTGTGATCCGAATGCAGCGCCCTGTCATCTCTGAGCACATGGTCCACACTGTTCTAGCTGCGCTGAGGTCGGGGGGAAAAAAAAAAGGAAAAAGAAAAGGCATGTATGAGTTACAAACTGATGCTGACCTGCATTATCATGTGCGGCTAATGCCGAAGGCACATGCCGCTCAAAGTTCTTTTTTTTTTTTTTTGGAAACATAACGTCCTTTACCGTACATTACCTTCTTCACCTGAATACAACGTACGGTCATTATTGCTGTATTTAGACTGAAAGATACCCCAAATACAGCTATAATGACCGTACAGCATATGTTATATTCGGGTGAAGAAGGTAGGCCACTGGAACAAAACGAACAACACACATAGCACAAATTACACACATAGCACAAATTACACACATAGCGCAAAGTACACACGTAGTGCAAAGTACATACCTAGGACAAAGTACACACATAGCTGCATTTAGACTGAAAGATACCCCAAATACAGCTATAATGACTGTGTGGTATACGTTATATTCAGGTGAAGAAGGTAGGGCAACTGGATAAAAACTAGCTAATGTCACATAAAAGTACACACAAAAGCACAAAGTACACACATAGCACAAAGTACAGACAATAGCACAAAGTACACGCAATAGCACAAAGTACACACATAGCACAAAGTAGACAGTGTGCAAACTACTACGAACTAGTACGAAGTACACACATAGCACAAAGTACACACACAGCACAACACAGTACAGATGCTGCATGCAGCAAATGACTATTCAAGGTCTGGTGTGATCATGTTACAAATGAATGCTTCTGTTGCGATGGCACAGTGGCCGTTGTGACCGGGCGGGGTGCAAACTTCCCCCCCGACGTACGTACTCTGCTGTTCAAGTGTACGCAGGTGTCTACGTGGCATTGTGCTCGAGTCTTGTGCTTGTTATTTCAAGTTGATTATTGATTGCTACTTCAATTGGTTTCAAAGTTTTTTTTTTTGTGATTTGACTCTATTGAGTCTATTCACCCTTTGTGCTCCAGCACTCACGACGCCAATGCCACGTAATATATAGACTTATACACCTGCATCTGTCGGCAATGCCCCCATGCGGCGTTTCGGCTATGGTGGAACATAGCCTCTGAAGGGGGACACCTACGTACTTCAACCAGTCGTTGACTATATCGGCGTACCACCAACCCATGCTACACTTATCATTACTCACAATGGCTACCATCATTCCCCGAACAGACCGTACTACAATCATTACCGCTGCATCTAGACTGAAAGTTGCCCCAAATACAGTCATAATGACCAAATGTTCTATTTGGGGAAACGCAGTACCCGTCAACTAACAGCCAGACGGCAAAAAGGAACGACGTCCTCGTACGCAGAATCTAAACACTCCTACGCAATCCACAACAGTTAAGGCTCTGGAACTGGGGAGCATGAAAAAAAAAAAAAGAAAGAATTAAGGAGCATGGAAAAAAAAAAAGAAAAAAAAAGAAGAGGAGCATGAATACCTACCACATGGAAGGAGAGCCGGCACTTTTCTGTGTCCGGTCTAATACTGCTGCCACTGTGCAATCCAAAAGCTCTTTCCTTTTCGCACCTGCCGCCTCCGATTTTTTCTGACATAAACAAAGTAAAGAAATAGTTATTATGACTCTTATATACTCACACCAGCACTTTCTTAAATGTGTCTGACCACAAACACGAACGAACCAGGATGTACCTGACTGCAATTACATCCAGAAGTCATCCGTAGAAAAGTCATGGTAGTGTGAGTATGCGCTAAGAAGAGAAATCAGGAAAGGACTTTTAAGTCTGGAATCTGGACGTTTTCTCCAACTTGATACAGAAGTCCAGACTCCAGAGGCATAAGTGTCATAATAACTACAATCTTCCCCTGAATAGAATGCATGGTCATAACAAGCCAGGAGGCCGAAGAGCTGGGGTACCAGAAAAAAATCTATCCCATAACCCTTAACATTCAATGCTGAGAGAGCGCCATGGTCATAACCGCTGTATCTAGACTAAAAGTTGGTCCAAATACAGTTGTAACGACTATGCATATCTAGACTGAAATTTGGGGGAAGATGACAAAACAGATGTTGGATACGCAAGCTCAGAGATTGTCACAGACAGAAGTTCAGAGGCATCAACCTCAAGACTACGGTGATGGATCTGGTCTTCATCCCTGTCTAGGTTCACAATATTCAGAGGAAAATGCAGACGTACGATACAAAACGTTCAGAGGCATCAGATCCAATGGAGTACGAGTGGTCATTTGAAGATGAAATATATATTTTTTAAAAAGAACAAAAAGAAAGAAAAGAAAAATAAGAGCACAGAATGCCACATGTACGTTTGTTATGCCTTTTTGTTGGGACATCCCTTGACATCTGGACAACCTCAACTAGTGGATGTGGTCGTAGGGACCGACTAGGTTCACAATAGTCATGCAAAAATCAGACAGAAAATAGCAAGTAGAATGAGTGAGTGATGCACAGCGAGCTTTGCTTGGTGCTTTGACGCCACTCCCACTCATTTTACTGTGTATTTCCTGTCTTATTTTTCAATGACCATCGTGAACGTCGACAGTCAACAAGGCCAGATTCACTGCCCTTGGCGCTTGGGCGGTGAAAAACCAGGAAGTGAAAAAGACGAAAACGTGAAGAAAAATACTAAAACAGCATGTCCATCAAATCACGGGGCAAAAACAAAAGGAAATAACAAAACCAGAAATGAAACGTTAGGGAACTTACGGCTGCATTCCCCAGGATCATGATATCTTAACCTCAAAATCGTCCACGCCCCCTCCCTCTCCTGTTCCTGCTCTCTCTTCTACCTCCTACTACTCTTCACCCTCTTCTTCTTCTTCGTCTTGTACCCGTCTTCTTCTTCTTCTTCTTCTTCTTCTTCTTCTTCTTCTTCTTCTTCCTCTTTGTCTTCTTCTTCTTCTTCTTCTTCTTCTTCTTCTGCTTCTTCTTCTCTTTCCCTACTTCTTTCCCCCCTTCTGCTTCTTCTTCTTCTTTCCCCCCCTCCTTCTCTTTCCCTTCTTCTTTTCCCCCTTCTACTTCTTCTTCTTCTTCTTATCCTCCTCCTTTCCTTGTCCTCCTCTTTTCATCTGTAGCACTCAAACAGAAATGGGAACATCACATTGCAAGCATAGCAGGAAGTCCCGGTGGTAGAGTTGGTACCTTGGCGGTAGGGTTCAGGACTTGGGTAAGGATGTAGGGGTTAGGAGGAGGAGTCCTTTCTTCCCCAACACCCATAACAAAGATGCGCCCTAACAAAGATGCGAAAAGAAATATAGGTAGTACAGTTGATACCTTGGTTTAGGGTCTCCTGCAGGGTTTAGGGTTTAAGGGGCTCTTCTTCCTAGCTCTTGCTCCTGCTCATCTCCTCTTTCACTCCTCTTTCTCCTCTTTCTCCTCCTCTTTCTCCTTCTTTCTCTGTGCACCTCTCTAACAAAGATAGCAACAGCAGTTACAGCACAGATATGCCTGAGAGGTATTGGTAGTAGAGTTGGTACCTTAATGTTTGTGCGGCAGACGAGCGAACGCAGCTCTGCCCCAACAAGAACTTCGAGTCTGTCTCTCACATAGCCATCCCTCTGCCAGTCTTCACAATCGGCGCTGCCCATTTCATCGTCTGTGACCATATAATTGGACTCTGGGAAAACAGACGGGACAAATTATTCCACTCCATGAGTCTCCATCCACGTCCAATTTCCAATACACGAGAAATAAATTTCTGTCGGGATGGTTGGGGTTGGTTGGGGTTGGTTTGGGTATGGGTCGGGTAGTGTCGGGTCGGGCTGGATCAGGTCGGGCCGGGCCAGGTCGGGTCG